TTTGAACAGACAGTTATGTTCTTTCAACAGATGTAGGATCTTAATTTGATCACCCTGTTGCAGGGGAACTTTCCTGCAATGCAGTAGTGTATTTGAGGTTTAAAAAGGCTTCTAAAGTTTGTTGATGGACAGCAATAGTCAAACCTTGTCTCTGATTTTCTAGCAGATTTAAGTCAGGACTGAGACTGGACACTTCAGGAACACTCAACACCACTTGGAAAGACAATCTGTTGTGTCTCGGCATTAAAAGTTGTGTAATCGTCCCGGTGAAAATAAAACTTTCAGAAAACTATGGCGGGGTTTCCTCTAACTTTTGACCAGGGCTTTGCACATTTTATACAGATGTAAGGTCTTAAGTTTATCACTTTTGCTACTGAGAATTGTCCTGCAATGCAGGAAATGCATACATGTAGTGTATTTTAGTTTTGAAAAGGCTTCTAAAGTTTGAAATGTCCACTTTGACATTTCTGACTTGATTTGCCCTCATGAAAAATGTATCAAACCCTACAATAAATGTCCATCAATTATAATCCTCATAATAATTCACATTTCCTGCTAGGTTTGATAGAATTTCCCAGAAACAGACTCCTAGTTTGGGACAGGTCTGACTCCTCTGTTATCAGTGAAGACATGGAAGGAGGAACCCTGTGATAGACTGTGCTGCTGTTGCGCCACACTGCTGAAGCAATAGAGAGGGACAGGGGGAGTTCCAGGCAAAATGCGCCACACTGCTGAAGCAATAGAGAGGGACAGGGGGAGTTCCAGGCCCAAAAGGCAGAAACAGGTTGCCGTCACTTACATTTTTTACTTTATTTAGAAAATCAATCAATCAATCAAATGTATTTATAAAGCCCTTTTAAATCAGCAGATGTCACAAAGTGCTATACAGACACCCAGCCTAAAACCCGAACAGCAAGCAATGCAGATGTAGAAGCACGGTGGCTAGGAAAAACTCCCTAGAAAGGCAGAAACCTAGGAAGAAACCTAGAGAGGAACCAGGCTCTGAGGGGTGGCCAGTCCCCTTCTGGCTGTGCCGGGTGGAGATTATAACAGTACATGGCCATTAAGGCCAGAATTTTCTCCACGATGTTCAAACGTTCATAGATGACCAGCAGTGTCAAATAATAATCACAGTGGTTGTAGAGGTTGCAACAGGTCAGTACATCAGGAGTAAATGTCACTTGGCTTTTCATAGCCGGGCATTTAGAGGTTGAAATAGCAGGTGCATTAGAGAGAGAGTTGAAAACAGCAGGTCTGGGACAAGGTAGCACGTCCGGTGAACAGGTCAGGGTTCAATAGCCGCAGGCAGAAGAGTTGAAACCGGAGCAGCAGCACGACCAGGTGGACTGGGGACAGCAAGGAGTCATCAGGTCAGGTAGTCCTGAGGCATGGTCCTAGGGCTCAGTTCCTCCGGGAGTGGAGGGAGAGAGAGAGCGAATTAGAGGGAGCATACTTAAATTCACACAGGACACCGGATAAGACAGGAGAATAACACCAGATATAGCAGACTGACCCTAGCCCCTCGGGGACTCGAGGCAAAAATAGGTGATTCTCATAAAACCAGTTTTAACCATGGCAGTAGCAAACTATTGGTCTGAAGACTAAGATGCCTAGGTTATGGCGCAGTGTCTCATTTTAAATACATTTTACATTTTTGCCTGATTTTTGTACATTTTCACCCCAAATTCTCATTACCGAAATGCCTCCAGATTATAATCTCTGGTCATTTTAATAAATGTTACTTTAGAAAAGCCTAACTTACTTGTATAAAACGCAAAATATGTTGTCCATAAATCATAAAATATGTATACTAGTGGAAGTTTACATTAAACTAGAATATTTATTATGTTAAAAATAGTGTCTGTGGACATGTTTCTCATTACCATTACACTTTTTAAAGTTGCTGTAAAAACTCCAATCATTTTTTAAATCGTTTTTGTTCACCCATGATGCATCATCTAGAGGAGCAGTCCTTAGATGAGCAGAAGTTCATTTAATTTCTTCACTTATATGCCTTCAGAATGAGGATATTATTCTCAAACACCCCCTTTATGTCACTTGACCTCATACCGAAATGACAAAAAAGCTCAAATTGGGAAAAACTTACCTTACCAACATGGAGGCATGAATGGGCTTTAGTGATGTGGTCAATTGTTTGTTCATTATAATGGCCGTCTCCTATTACTTGCAGATTAAGCTAAGGGCCTCTAATTACCGAAACACACATTTCTCATTACCGCATAATTTTTAGGTCTGTTTCGGTAATGAGATCCTTAATTTCTGCAAATTATAATAAGCTAATTCTAATGTATAGTCAATGGGTTTGCTGTGCTGGTAACTTTATTTACTAGGACCGCTCCTTACACCTATTGTATATCAGTTATTTGATGAAATAGGGGTTGTCAAGACATGGGTGTATAAACACCATTTAATTAACTTAAAGCCACAAACTGGAGTTTGAGTTTCAGCAAAGCGCAACCCGCCACTTAAAGGAGGATATCCCCCATTTTGACGTGTACCTGTTTTAGCACTTACCTATACTGTTGTTTGATATCCCAAGACAGTTCTTGGTCCATATCCCACATACAGTGCCCTCAGAAAGTATTCACACCCCTTGACTTTTTCCCCATTTTGCTGTGTTACAGCCTGAATTTAACATTTTATTAAATTAAGATTTTTTGTCACTGGCCTACACATAATACCCCATAATGTCAAAGTGGAATTAACAAATGAAAAGCTTAAATGTCTTGAGTCAATAAGTATTCAACACCTTTGTTATGGCAAGCCTAAGTAAGTTCAGGAGTAAAGATTTGCATAGCAAGTCACATAATAAGTTGCATGGACTCACTCTGTGTGCAATAGTGTTTAACATGATTTTTGAATGACTACCTCATCTCTGTACCCAACACATACAATTATCTCTAAGGTCCCTCAGTCGAGGAGTGAATTTCAAACACAGATTAAACCGAAAAGTCCAGGGAGGTTTTCCAATGCCTCGCAAAGAAGGGCACCTATTGGTAGATGGGTAAAAATAAAAAAGCAGACATTGAATATCCCTTTGAGCATGGTGAAGTTATTAATTACACGTTGGATGGTGTATCAATACACCCAGTCACTACAAAGATACAGGCATCCGGAGAGGAAGGAAACAGCTCCGGGATTTCACCATGAGGCCAATTGTGACATTAAAACAGTTACAGAGTTTAATGGCAGTGATTGGAGAAAACTGAGAATGGATCAATAACATTGTTGTTACTCCACAATACTAACCTAATTGACAGAGTGAAAAGAATGAAGCCTGTACATAATACAAATATTTCAAAGCATGCATCCTGTTTGCAACAAGGCACTAAAGTAATACTGGAAAAAATGTGGCAAAGCAATTAACTTTTTGTCCTGAATGCAAAGTGTTATGTTTGGGGCAAATACAATACAATACATTACTGTGTACCACTTTCCATATTTCCAAGCATAGTGGTGGCTGCATCATGTTATGGGTATGCTTGTAATCGTAAAGGACAGGGGAGTTTTTCAGGATAAAAAATAAACGGAATGGAGCTAAGCACTGGCAAAATCCTAGAGTTAAACCTTTCCACCAGAAACTGGGAGATGAATTCACCTTTCAGCAGGACAGTAGCCTAAAACACAAGGCCATATCTACACTGAAGTTGCTTACCAAGAAGACAGTGAATTTTCCTGAGTGGCAGAGTTACAGTTTTGACTTAAATCTGCTTGAAATCTATGGCAAGACCTGAAAATGGTTGTCTAGCAATGATCAACAACCAATTTGACAGAGCTTGAAGAATTTTGAAAATAATAATGGGCAAATGTTGCGCAATCCAGGTGTGGAAAGCTCTTAGAGACTTACCCAGAAAGAATCACGGTTGTAATCGCTGCAAAAGGTGATTCTAACACGTATTGACTCAGGTGGTTGAATACTTGTGAAATGTGATATTTCAGTTTTTTGTTAATAAATGTGTCAAATCAAATGTAATTTGTCACATGCGCCGAATACAACAGGTGTAGACCTTACAGTGAAATGCTTACTTACAAGCCCTTAATCAACAATGCAGTTTTAAGAAAGAATACCTAAAAAAAAGAAAAGTAACAAATAATTAAAGAGCAGCAGTAAAATAACAATAGCGAAGGGTACAGGGTGTACCGGTACCGAGTCAATGTGTGGGGGCACCGGTTAGTCGAAAGTATTCATTATGGGGTATTGTGTGTAGATTGATGAGGAAAAAAACGATTTAATCCATTTTAGAATAAGGCTGTAACGTAACAAAATGTGGAAAAAGTCAAGGGGTCTGAATACTTTCCGAATGCACTAGTGTTTTTATTTTTCATGAATTCCACTTTGAAATTAGCGTATTTTGTGTAAATCTTTAAAGACAATTAAATTCATTTTTATCCCACTTTGTAACGCAACAAAATGTGGAAAAAGTCCAGGGGTGTGAATACCTTCTGAAGGAACTGGATTTAGATACTTTAGGCATATCATGTTGTGCCATTTATCCATAGAATCCCATTCAATTTAGAAATGCATCTGAAATACCTTAGAACCACACATATCCATGTCCTAATACACCAATATTACCTGTAAAGACCTTGGATAAGTAAAAAAAAATCCTTTGACTTTTTAAAATACATGCACGTAATTACAGTACTTATACTTATCCTAAAATAATGGGTATTTAGTCGCATCAAGATCAGTGATTTTAGTTTTATGCAAGTAATTTGAGATTGACAAATGCCAGTTTACTCTGATTACTCTGAGTTGTTTGTTTTGGGAATAATTTCTTTGTTTACTTTGTATTCCTCCATATTGGCTTTATTTGTTCACTTGCATTGTGTTGTTCACATCCATGGTTGATCCAAAACCAGAACTTCCATTACATGTTTTAGCTCATCAATTTGAAATGGCATTATCCAACAATTGGTAAGTAGTAGTGTATGTAAGTAATTTATGTTAAGTCAGTTTCCTCCTCTTCCTCCTCAGTTACCTGAATGACCTGGACAGGATATCCCAGCAGAACTACGTGCCCACGCAGCAGGATGTCCTGCGCACCAGAGTCAAGACCACTGGCATCGTGGAGACACACTTCACATTCAAGGACCTCTACTTCAAGTCAGTAACCTGTTAACACGGCACTCAGTGCACTGACTCACACTAATAATAACTGAGGACCTTGGTACCTACAGTTAGTGATTCACTAATGTAGAAAATCCCAAAGCTGTCTGTACATCCCCCTAGTGACCACAATTTACTCTAGGAGTGTTTCTTTGTCTTTCTCTCCTGTTCATTCCCTTTTTTATGTCCTCCATCTTTTTCTCACTTCCTGTTATTTCTCTCTGTCTGAATCTCCGTGGCTGCAGGATGTTTGATGTGGGGGGTCAGAGGTCAGAGAGGAAGAAGTGGATCCACTGCTTTGAAGGAGTCACAGCCATCATCTTCTGTGTTGCGCTCAGTGACTATGACCTGGTGTTGGCTGAGGATGAGGAGATGGTGAGTGGGACAAGGCATAAACTCTAGATCTATAGTCCTGTGGTAATTACATGATACTCTTATCAAAAGAGAATGCTTAACAGTTTTACCCACACGCTGACCTTAACACTGCTCATCTCTCCACAGAACCGTATGCACGAGAGCATGAAGCTGTTTGACTCCATCTGCAACAACAAGTGGTTCACGGGCACCTCCGTCATCCTCTTTCTCAACAAGAAGGATCTGTTTGAGGACAAGATCCAGAAGAGCCCTCTCACTATCTGCTACCCAGAGTACTCAGGTACATCTTTAACCCTTTACACTCGTTGGAATTGGCCTATATGGATAGGGCTAAATTAAAATGTTTCTTACAGAAGAAATATGAAAATGTATAACAATGTAACAATTGAAAGGAAACATTTTGTAGATTATGTAAAAATGACTAGACTAAAGGTAAGGACACAACAGTTCACCTGACACAAGACTGAATTCAAACAAGCTACTGTTGATTTGATGTGCATTTGACATTTTCTGTACTTTTCGCCGCATTTGTGGATAACGAAATCTGAAAATACTCTGGGTACATTCAGTAACATGATAAGAATATTCCTGGAAAATGTGGGGTAGGTGCAACACACACAAAAAAATATATACACCGGTTTGAGTGAGAGCACTAACTGGTGTCTCCAAGTGGCCACACACCTCTCCAGAGTGTGCACAGTTCCTAAGTCATTTCAATGCACTTTAATGACTCAAAGAAGAGTCTTCAACTAAGGTGCTTTTTTTGAGCTGTCCTAGCTATGCTGTTGAGGAACTAGAGCAAGCACACTTGTTTTTGTTTGGAGCACAACCCTGCATTCCTGCCATCATACAATTACTGTTGTTTACGCAACCCAAAAACTGTCCATTATAAATCGCAAACTGGCGCTTATCAGTACCCAAATCTTCAATTTTCAATTTGTGTATGGGTACGAGTGTAAAGGGCTACAGAAGGGCTACTAATACATTCTTTAACATTTTACAGATATACAGGTGGATATTCAGGAATCGGCATCTATAAAACAGCACAAAACACAATTTCCTGTGGGATTGTTGTTATAGTAACCGCAGTGCATTTGCACACAGTTGATTCTTGTTTGAGATGTCTGAGTAGTGAGTAATACCTCTATTATGAAATATTAGCTTGTGCAATATGGGAGGCGTTTCATGGCACACTTTGCTGAAGCAGGAAATTTGAGTTTAGCAAGTTTTTAGTCTATAATAGGAAATGACCAGTTTGCCCAAAGCAATGTATTAATTAAATCATACATATTTTGCATGTCCTTGTGAGAATAAGTGCATAAATCAGATTGAAAACATATTCCCCTCCTCTACTCTAGGTCCAAATGAATTGAAAGAGGCGTTAATCTACATTCAGTGTCAGTTTGAGGACTTGAACAAGCGGAAGGATACAAAGGAGATCTATACCCATTTCACTTGTGCTACTGACACTAAGAACGTGCAGTTTGTCTTTGACGCTGTCACTGACGTCATCATCAAAGTCAACCTGAAGGAGGTTGGCTTGTACTGAGACTCCTGCAACATCATCTATCTTGTCATCATAGGGGCTGGAGTGTGTTGGAATCACACATTTACAGGTATAAATCAATCATTGCCTTTTTGACAGTTAGACAGACCATATACGGGATGGGTTAATAGACCATAAACTGTTGCCATAATGTATGATGAATCCTTGGATATTTCAAGACAAGATTACATAGGGCACTTACGTGCTTTTGCTTTTCTATCCTTTTGCTGTTATGTATTCCATTGCTATGGACTGATTTTTAAAGTGGAATGTAAGTTGTGAGTGTTGGATGTGCCTCATGTTTTTGACTTTTATTGCCAAATTTCTGTAAAATATCTTTAAAACATTCTGCACTTTTTAGGCAGGTATTAATTACATTGTAAATGTTGAATAAGGGATCACAACTATTATGCATTTTCTGAGAGTTTTGATAACTCTTTCTAACCTTATACACTGAGTGTACAAATCATTAGGAACACCTTCCTAATATTGAGTTGCACCCCCTTTTGCCCTCAGTATAGCCTCAATTCGTCGGGGTATGGACTCTACAAGGCGTCAAGCGTTCCACATGGATGCTGGCCCATGTTGACTCTAATGCTTCCCACAACTGTGTCAAGTTGGCTAGATGTCCTTTGGGTGGTGGACCATTCTTGATACACACGGGAAACTGTTGAGTGTGAAAAACCAAGCAGCATTGCAGTTCTTGGCACACTACCATACCCTGTTCAAAGGCACTTAAATATTTTGTCTTACCCATTCATCCTCTGAATGGCACACATACACAATCCATGTCTCAATTGTCTCAAGGCTTAAAAATAATTATTTAATCTGTCTCCTCCCCTTCATCTACACTGATTTGAAGTGGATTTAACAAGTGATCAATAAGCGATCATAGCTTTCACCTGGATTCACCTGGTCATTCTATGTCATGGAAAGAGCAGATGTTCCTAGTGTTTTGTACACTTAGTGTAAATGGTCATTGTTCAACCTAAATTTATGTTGTGGAATTTGACGTGTCCACTAGTGTTATTTGGTATTCTAGTGGGGATTTTAATGTGCTGAATTCTGATTTGTTTTAATACATCACCATTCAGATCATTACATAACACAGACATATTATACTAGCTCTTAGCCGACTGTAAGACATCACTTGATGTTTTAAAACCACTTTTAAAGAAAAAGCTTTTTTAATGGTTGCCTTGACTTGGATTATGTTACTTATTTTCTTTGGATTATCTTTGGATGGAACTATTTTGTATAAAGATTATTATGGCCTTTCGCTGAAGACAATGGCCTTAATATAAATTAAAAGTATTTGCCTGGAAGCCATTTTAAATGCCCCTCCTTTTGAAAACATGCTTTTTATAAGTTTTATTTTATTCCTTATTTTTCTGGTGAGTTGACTGAAAATACCTTCTCATTTACAGCAAAGGCTTGGGGAAAGTTACGGAAGTACAGAGAGGACATATGCATAAAAATATAATTCCCTCGTTATGTCGAATACAACTTATTTATCTCATGATCACTACATAACAAAAGTTGTTTTGTTGAGATCACGAGAATCTCTAAAGATAGGCGTGGATGTATTGATTGACAGTATGGCTGAGGCGGCAGAGCCCATGGTGGATCAGCGCATACGTTTTTATTGATTGCTACACTAAGGGATGGTACATTTAATGCTAACATCATGCTTTCATTTGTGTTTGGAGCTCATTATCTGTTTATAAGTTAGAATGTTATCAAACTAAATGTCCCTTACCTTGAGCTAAAAGCTCATGGGGCAGCTAAGCCCTGAACGATGCCTGACAGGCACCTCTGTCTCCCAGGCACATCAAAGACCACATCCAATCGCATGCAAGCAACAATGCAGCTAACTTGGCTAGTCTTGTGAGCGAGTTAGCTACAGTGGGGAGAACAAGTATTTGATACACTGCCGATTTTGAAGGTTTTCCTACTTACAAAGCATGTAGAGGTCTGTAATTTTTAACATAGGTACTCTTCAACTGTGAGAGACGGAATCTAAAACAAAAATCAAGAAAATCACATTGTATGATTTTTAAGTAATTAATTTGCATTTTATTGCATGACATAAGTATTTGATCACCTACCAACCAGTAAGAATTCCGGCTCTCACAGACCTGTTCGTTTTTCTTTAAGAAGCCCTCCTGTTCTCCACATTACCTGTATTAACTGCACCTGTTTGAACTCGTTACCTGTATAAAAGACACCTGTCCACACACTCAATCAAACAGACTCCAACCTCTCCACAATGGCCAAGATCAGACAGCTGTGTAAGGACATCAGGGATAAAATTGTAGACCTGCACAAGGCTGGGATGGGCTACAGGACAATAGGCAAGCAGCTTGGTGAGAAGGCAACAACTGTTTGGCGCAATTATTAGAAAAAGGAAGAAGTTCAAGATGACCGTCAATCACCCTCGGTCTGGGGCTCCATGCAAGATCTCACCTCGTGGAGCATCAATGATCATGAGGAAGGTGAGGGATCAGCCCAGAACTACACGGCAGGACCTGGTCAATGAAAAAATTACAGACCTCTACATGCTTTGTAAGTAGGAAAACCTGCAAAATCAGCAGCGTATCAAATACTTGTTCTCCCCACTGTAGGTAGTCTTGTTATCTATGCTGGTTGTTAGCTTGCATAACTGATATGTGTATAATTGTAAGGGACACTTCATTTTTTATGGATAATATTTACATTTACAGAGTGGGTGAGCTCCAATCCTGACAGGCTGATCAGATTCAATAGTCGCCTCAGGCTGAAACATCAGGATGCTGCCTTGTAGGCTGTTTCATAGGTAAAGCTCCTTGCAGGCAGATTAGCAATCGGTGCATTATGCATATGATCAAGAGTGGGTGCGCCCTATTCCAGGCCAGCTGATCAGATTCAGTAGCAGCCTCAGAGGCTGATAAGTCAGGATGCTGCCTTGTAGGCTGTCTGCAAGGAACCTTACATATGCAACAGCCTACAAGGCAGCATCCTGACTTATCAGCCTCTAAGGCTGAAATTGAATCTGATCAGCCTGTCAGGAATGGGGATCACCCACTGTAAATGTTATATTAAATGTCCTTTTCATAATTATACACATAAGTTATGCAAGCTAACAACCAGCATGGATAACAAGTTAGCTAGCTAACAAGACTACCTAGCTTAGCTAGCTCACAAGACTAGCCAATTTAGTTGCGTTGTTCCTTGCATGAGATTGGCTGTGGTCTTCGGGACGGCACGCAGCCTGGGAGACGGTGCTGCCTGTCAGCCATCATTCAGGGCTTAAATGCCCCGCATTGCGATCAATGCAGCCACAGGGCTCCTTGATGAGGTGGTCATCATGCATCTGAACATATGAATGGATGATGCGTGGTACTTTTGGTGATCTCGACAAAACAACTTTTGTTATGTAGAGATCATGAGATAAATACATAAGTCGTGATCTCGGCATAACAAGGGAATTTATTTATTTCATATGTCCTCTGGGCTTCCGTAGAAAGTTACAAAACATAGTAAAAAATACTTTGGTAACCTACAAAATATATAAGCAAGCAAAAAATAAACACTATAAAAATGTCGATTGCCATTTGGACATTTTAACAGTTGTCTAAATTGAACACTATGAATGTTCCTTGGATTAAAATCGACTGTGGACCAAACTTGTCTTTAATTATTCAGTAGTGTCAATTACAATCATAAGATTGTAAAAGACTTGACTTATTATACCAGTAATTATCATATAGTGTCATAGAAATGTTTGTTTGCATTGTGTATCTCTCCACAAGGTTGTACGAGTCAGTGGTTGACAACACAAGACGATTCCACCTACAATGGGGGTTATGTCATACAATACACATTTAAGCCTAAGGTCTAGCAAAGTTGATTTATTGTTTAGCGGATGCCCGTTTCACATTTCTCTAATATTTTTTTTGGGGGGGGACAATTCATTTGATTCATATGAATTGATTATTTTAAACGATTCACTTTGCCCTTGTAGTAAACTCAGCAAAAAAATAAATGTCCTCTCACTGTCAACTGCGTTTATTTTCAGCAAACTTAACATGTGTAAATATTTCTATGAACATAACAAGATTCAACAACTGAGACATAAACTGAACAAGTTCCACAGACATGTAACTAACAGAAATTGAATAATGTGTCCCTGAACAAAAAGGGGTCAAAATCAAAAGTAACAGTCAGTATCTGGTGTGGCCACCAGCTGCATTAAGTACTGCAGTGCATCTCCTCCTCATGGACTGCATCAGATTTGCCAGTTCTTGCTGTGAGATGTTACCCCACTCTTCCACCAAGGCTCCTGCAAGTTCCTCGGTGTAACGCTCATTCCTTCGACGATAAACGCGAATCCGACCATCACCTCTGGTGAGACAAAACTGCGACTCGTCAGTGAAGAGCACTTTTTGCCAGTCCTGTCTGGTCCAGCGATGGTAGGTTTGTGCCCATAGGCGATGTTGTTGCCGGTGATGTCTGGTGAGGACCTGCCTTACAACAGGCCTACAAGCCCTCAGTCCAGCCTCTCTCAGCCTATTGCAGACAGTCTGAGCACTGATGGAGGGATTGTGCGTTCCTGGTGTAACTCGGGCAGTTGTTGTTACCATCCTGTACCTGTCCCGCAGGGGTGATGTTGGGATGTACCGATCCTGTACAGGTGTTGTTACATGTGGTCTGCCACTGCGAGAACGATCAGCTGTCCGTCCTGTCTCCCTGTAGCGCTGTCTTAAGGGTCTCACAGCATGGACATTGCAATTTATTGCCCTGGCCACATCTGCAGTCCTCATGCCGCCTTGCAGCATGCCTAAGGCATGTTCACGCAGATGAGCAGGGACCCTGGGCATCTTTCTTTGGTGTTTTTCAGAGTCAGTAGAAAGGCCACATTAGTGTCCTAAGTTTTCATAACTGTGACCTTAATTGCCTACCGTTCCACAGGTGCATGTTCATTAATTGTTTATGGTTCATTGAACAAGCATGGGAAACAGTGTTTAAACCCTTTACAATGAAGATCTGTGAAGTTATTTGGATTTTTATGAATTATCTTTGAAAACAGGGTCCTGAAAAAGGGACGTTTCTTTTTTTGCTGAGTTTAGTTGGGATTCGGTTCAAGCGTGGTGAATCGGATCATGTGAATCAAGGTAATCATTTGTAAATTGCGAACAGTAGTTTTAGGAAAAGATGACCTGTAGCTTTCCTTTTGGATAATGTGCAGTGCTTGACTTGGGCAGAAGCTCACCGGAGCTGAGCTGAGTACTAGCACCTCAAATGTTCTACTGCTTGAGTTCCTCTTTATAGAATATTAGCTCAAAATATTGTGGGTCTCCTGCACCTAAATGTAAACAGTACATGCACTCAAAATAAGGACCGGCACCTATTTCAGTCCAAGTCAAGCACTCATAATGTGGCTACACAACTTGTTTTGTAGATACTTGAAGTTGATTTTGGCATTCAATTTATAGGATATTGAACCTCAGTAGATGGTAGTCAGCCTGCGAAGTAAACACTTCTAAGGTAAGATAAATATGACTAAACTAGAAAAGGTACATTTCCTGAAGAAAATGTGTGTGCTTGCTTCAGCAGTCAAAAAATATTTGTATGATAGTGGGGGATGTGTTAAATGTAGAATTCAAGCTGAATAGAAGCTGAGGCAGTTCGTTATAGTATGAATAGGTCTGATTTAGTAGATTGCTATATACTTCAGCTAGCACATCAATTATAAAAATTGACATATCTATGCCTTTGAAAAATGTACTGTGCCTAAAACTCAGCCGGGACAGGCTTTCAATGGTGCTATCCAATTCCTGACACCAATGTAGTTAATTAGAGGGATACCCTGACCAGGACTCAAAACTGTGGTCCCTGTGAGTGTCAATTCCAAAACCATTATACCAAAAGGCAAAAATGTCTTGGTAATGTCACTAGGTGTTGTACTAAGGTGGTTTAGTGTTTTTACAAGGGGTTCAAATTGTATTTTATATGTTCCTATTTTATTTTTATTTGCTCGCTCACCTCACTTTTCAAAAATGTTTATCCTTTAAACAGTAAATCAACTTTGTATGGCCTAAAGGTCACATCACATATCTTCGTAAAAAATAATTATGAAATGGCAGTTTCTATGTATACATTTTTATTTTGAATGTTTATCTTTCACAAGACTGGTCAGAGTTACAGGTTCATTTGTCAGTAGTCAAAATGGAATATACATGCACATCACTAAACATGTCACTGAGCATTTTGATACGTATTCGAATATTAATGTATAAGGTCCACTATTCTTCTATTGTATTTACAAAATACATTGCTAACTTGTTTTGATGGTACTTTTTTCTTAAATTCCAGCTTATGCCTGGCTATTTGAACTCACTGATTGGAATTAGCTGAATAACTTTTTTACTGTGTTACATCTGGTGCGAAACAGTAAGCATATCCAAACAGAGTTCTAATTTGAGATACTTAGAACTAGATATAAACATTATAAATCATGGGGCAAGAACAATGTTACTGGAAAGGACTTCACTCTGACTATGTTGAGTAAGATGGATCACCTCAAAATGTATCCTTTCATAAGTTTATCAATTGGAGTCCATGAGCAGCTTTATACACTCTTTCCTCAACACAAACCAATCATTAAGAGCCAGAAATAACCCAGAATATCTAATAAAGTACCTATATCAAACGTGTTCATTCTGTTGTTCTTCTGACTTCTTATCCACATTTCCATCTAAAGGACATCATCCACATTGTCTCCGGGAGGAACATGTTTTGCCATCTTTGTTAGATTTGTTGGACATGATGTGTGTTCACTCACTTTGGAATAAGTTAGGGGCTGTTTCTTAGTATTTGCATTCATTACTCATCATTTAGGGTGTTGGTAGTTAGGAATGAAGGGAGGGGATAGTGTAGAATTGAAGGGTCTGAAGAGTCTTATGACATTACAAAGCCTTCTGTTGTGCCTTCTGTTCCTACTGCTCAACTTCAACATGAATCCAAGTGAAGGGATGAGGGAAAAAATACAATCTGTGAGGAAGAAAAAAATTATAATTAGGCCAGAAAATAGTGCCATGCAAAAGTATTCATCCCCCTTTGGTGTTTTTCCTATTTTGATGCATTACAACCTGTAATTTTAAATGGATTTTTATTTGGATTTAATGTAATGGACATACACAAAATAGTCCCAAATTGGTGAAGTGAAATAAAAAAATAACTTGTTTCAAAAGAATTCTAAAAAATAAATAATGGAAAAGTGGTGCGTGCATATGTATTCATCCCCTTTGCTAGAGAACAAAGAGACCAAAGATAACCCTGAAGGAGCTGCAAAGGTCCACTTTAAGCCGTACACTCCACAGAGCTGGGCTTTACGGAAGAGTGGGCAGAAACAAGCCAATGCTTAAAGAAAAAAATAAGCAAACACGTTTGGTGTTCACCAAAATGCATGTGGGAGACTCCCCAAACATATGGAAGAAGGTACTCTGGTCAGATGAGACAAAAATTGAGCTTTTTGGCCATCAAGGAAACGCTATGTCTGGCGCAAACCCAACACCTCTCATCACCCCGAGAACACCATCCCCACAGTGAAGCATGGTGGTGGCAGCATCATGCTGTGGGGATGTTTTTCATCAGCAGGGACTGGGAAAATGGTCAGAATTGAAGGAATGATGGATGGTGCTAAATACAGGGAAATTCTTGAGGGAAACCTGTTTGTCTTCCAGAGATTTGAGACTGGGACGGAGGTTCACCTTCCAGCAGGACAATTACCCTAAGCATACTGCTAAAGCAACACTCGAGTGGTTTAAGGGGAAACATTTAAATGTCTTGGAATGGCCTAGTCAAAGCCCACACCTCAATCCAATTGAGAATCTGTGGTATTACTTAAAGATTGCTGTACACCAGCGGAACCCATCCAACTTGAAGGAGCTGGAGCAGTTTTGCCTTGAAGAATGGGAAGAAATCCCAGTGGCTAGATGTGCCAAGCTTATAGAGACATACCACAAGAGACTTGCAGCTGTAATTGCTGCAAAAGGTGGCTCTACAAAGTATTGACTTGGGGGGTGAATAGTTATGCACGCTCAAGTTTTCAGTTTTTTTGTGTTATTTGTTGTTAGTTTCACCCCAAAAAATATTTTGCATCTTCAAAGTGGTAGGCATGTTGTGTAAATCAAATGATACAAACCCCCCCCCCACCCCCCATATCCATTTTAATTCCAGGTTGTAAGGCAACAAAATAGGAAATATGCCAAGGGGGGTGAATACTTTCGCAAGCCACTGTAACATATAAAAGAACAATAAGATGCTGAATTCCAAATCGAAACCTACCCTTGAGGCATTTTTAAGTCTGAAAAGATTGGATGGGTGTATCCAACATTGTGAAAATGTCACCAAGTCTATTATTTGATCGTCCAAATCTAGTAGAAGTGTCAATATGTACAGGCTAGGCGTCGATTTGGAATTCAAGAACCAATGAGAGAACTACTGTACCTCTTTGTGTGTCTGCTTAGAACAGACCGCAAGATTTTAGGTTCTCTTTGATAATGATGTCTGTCACGGCTCCGAACACAATCTCAACGTTCTTTGTGTCTGTGGCGCAGGTCAAGTGGGAATAGATTTCTTTGACACCCTTCTTCATGTTCAGCTCTTCAAACTGCTTCTTGATGTAGTCACTGGCATCATCATACGTGTTGGGGCCTAGTGGGAGAGAACGCAGGCAACTTATAAAGTGGTCCTCATTTGTTTTAAATTGTAGGTAATAAAATTGACAGTATCTATTCTGTTGTCTAGTATCATGCCGCTACATCATATTGCAGAAGAAGACACAGAACATTTCCATCATTCCTGCTCGTGGGAAATTGTACTATGCTGTTTTTACTTATGGTTACTCTTACCATCGTAGTCTGGGAAGCAGATGCTGAGGTGGACCTTCTTGATTTTCTCTTCAAAAAGATCCTTCTTGTTGAGGAAGAGCACGATGGAGGTGGTGGCGAAGAACCTGTGGTTGCAGATACTGTTGAACAAGTGGAGAGACTCATGCATACGGTTCTGTGGAGAAGAGGACGAAAGGGTTAGGTTAAGTGCCAACAATCTCGCAGTTTCTTTCATCAACCCTCACTGGCTAGATTAGTATACTAACTACTCTAAACCAAAGATATGATCTTGTTTCCTATTTTGGGACTTTGGCAAGCACACAAACACAACTCTACATGTCTTCTGTGCTTGAACTGGGGTGGTGGTATCAGGCATAGGACTGTGAAGCGATTGAGCAATCATATCGTACAGTCATCTGAGCTATGTCCTTAGGGAGTTTAAGGTTCTGTAACCTTGTGACTGAATAATCCATTGTTTACTTCAAAGTCAGACTGGATAAAATACTCTTCAGTTAGAATCAGAAATCACGATGCTCTTTCAATCTTACCAAACGGATCACAGTATAAAAAAGAGAAATGGAAGTAAACAGTACAAATGTACAAAATTTGGACATAAAGGGCCACAACTGTTACAAACTAATGGAACTTTCAGAGGTGAACTGTAGAACCAAACCCACCACTTCATCGTCCTCTACGAGCACCATGTCATAAGCACTGAGGGCTCCACAGAAGATGATACAGGTCACACCCTCGAAACAATGGATCCACTTCTTTCTCTCCGACCGCTGGCCGCCCACATCAAACATCCTGTCAGAAGAGAGGGGTTAAAGAAGTGAGATGTTAAGATCTGACTATACAGACTTAATCAATGATTGTGCAAAATCACGCCCAAGAGCAAAGGGAATTAACATACTACAAGGATGTATGGGAGACCACTATTGGCCGCTTGTGATCTCCCGTGTTTGGCTAACATTCCCTCACCTGAAATGCAGCTCTTTGCAGGAGAACTGCTCCTCGATGATACCGGTGGTCTTGACTCGAGAACGCAGCACGTCCTGCTCGTTGGGCAGGTAATCAGACTTTGTGATTCTGTCCAATTCTGCAAGGTAGCTGTTTAGCGAGATTTCAGTTTAGCATACATCCACACCCCAGACCAACATAATCACACTCACATGTACCAGCAAAGATATGACTGCCATAACAAACTATAACAGTTACTGTGACACTCACTAGCCAGCAGAGTCATTGAGCTGATACTCGGCTGCTCTCTCGAAGGAGGCCTGGACACCACTGTCACTCCACAGCCTCTTGATGACATCAGCCAGCTCAGGGGGCATGCTGCCCTCTTCAATGGAGTCTGACAGGTTGGACAGCTTCTGCCCATCTTCCTGCACCATGAAGTCAACTGGTGAGTTTTACCGCTACTAAAACTTCATTTTCCTTCCATTCTAAAGTAGCTAATTAGCTAAGCTAACAATGTATTGTAGTTTTTTCTATTTGAATAACGTGCAATTACTGAAACTTCTGCTGGTGTCTCAATGTCTATCAGTGTGTGTCATTGAGTGTCTGTTTAGAGGATCAGAAGTGGTTAGAGATGCAGAGTGGGACTCACAGATCCTTTTGGTGATCCAAAGTCAATGGACAGCATCTCCATGCCTCTGATGATGGCCAGAGCAGACTGCAGGATGTTACCATAGATGATCGCCCTGAACTCCAATTGTTCTTCTTTGGTATAACCACCTTGATGGAGAATTCTACTCAACATAAGAGGAAGAAAACAGTTAGGGTTGTAATTACAGTTTCAAATACAACTGACATTATGCACTCCCCTACGTATTTATTTGGACAGTGAAGATACAACTTTTAATTTGGCTCTACTCCAGCATTTTGGATTTGATATCAAATGTTTTATATGAGGTGACAGTACAGAATGTCACTTTTTATTTGAGGGTATTTTCATACAGTGAGGGAAAAAAGTATTTGATCCCCTGCTGATTTTGTAAGTTTGCCCACTGACAACGACATGATCAGTCTATAATTTTAATGGTAGGTTTATTTGAACAGTGAGAGACAGAATAACAACAAAAACATGTCAAAAATGTTATAAATTGATTTTCATTTTAATGAGGGAAATAAGTATTTGACCCCTCTGCAAAACATGACTTAGTACTTGGTGGCAAAACCCTGGTTGGCAATCACAGAGGTCAGACGTTTCTTGTAGTTGGCCACCAGGTTTGCACACATCTCAGGAGGGATTTTGTCCCATTCCTCTTTGCAGATCTTCTCCAAGTCATTAAGGTTTTGAGGCTGACGTTTGGCAACTCGAACCTTTAGCTCCCTCCACAGATTTTCTATGGGATTAAGGTCTGGAGACTATCTAGGCCACTCCATGACCTTAATGTGCTTCTTCTTGAGCCACTCCTTTGTTGCCTTGGCCGTGTGTTTTGGGTCATTGTCATGCTGGAATACCCATCCACAACCCATTTTCAATGCCCTGGCTGAGGGAAGGAGGTTCTCACCCAAGATTTGACGGTACATGGCCCCGTCCATCGTCCCTTTGATGCGGTGAAGTTGTCCTGTCCCCTTAGCAGAAAAACACCCCCAAAGCATAATATTTCCACCTCCATGTTTGACGGTGGGGATGGTGTTCTTGGGGTCATAGGCAGCATTCCTCCTCCTCCAAACACGGCGAGTTGAGTTGATGCCAAAGAGCTCGATTTTGGTCTCATTTGACCACAACACTTTCACCCAGTTCTCCTCTGAATCATTCAGATGTTCATTGGCAAACTTCAGACGGCCCTGTATATGTGCTTTCTTGAGCAGGGGGACCTTGCGGGCACTGCAGGATTGCAGTCCTTCACGGCGTAGTGTGTTACCAATTGTTTTCTTGGTGACTATGGTCCCAGCTGCCTTGAGATCATTGACAAGATCCTCCCGTGTAGGTCTGAGCTGATTCCTCACCGTTCTCATGATCATTGCAACTCCACAAGGTGAGATCTTGCATGGAGCCCCAGGCCGAGGGAGATTGACAGCTTTTGTGTTTCTTCCATTTGCGAATAATCGCACCAACTGTTGTCACCACCTCACCAAGCTGCTTGGCGATGGTCTTGTAGCCCATTCCAGCCTTGTGTAGGTCTACAATCTTGTCCCTGACATCCTTGGAGAGCTCTTTGGTCTTGGCGATGGTGGAGAGTTTGGAATCTGATTGATTGATTGCTTCTGTGGACAGGTGTCTTTTATACAGGTAACAAGCTGAGATTAGGAGCACTCCCTTTAAGAGTGTGCTCCTAATCTCAGCTGGTTACCTGTATAAAAGACACCTGGGAGCCAGAAATCTTTCTGATTGAGAGGGGGTCAAATACTTATATCCCTCATTAAAATGCAAATCAATTTATAACATTTTTGACATGTGTCTTTCTGGATTTTTTTGTTGTTATTCTGTCACTCACTGTTCAAATAAACCTACCATTAAAATTATAGACTGATCATGTCTTTGTCAGTGGGCAAACGTACAAAATCAGCAGGGGATCAAATACTTTTTTCCTTCACTGTACATATCTGTTTTACCGTATAGAAATGAAAGCATTTTATATATCTAGTCCCCCCATTTGATGGTATCAAATGTATTTGGACAAATTCAATTATAGTGTCTTAAATTAAGCCAAAAGTTTAGTATTGGTCTCATATTCTTAGCACGCAATGACTACATCAAACTTGTAACTCTACAAACTTGTTGGATGCATTTGCAGTTTGTTTTGGTTGTGTTTCAGATTATGTTGTACCCAATTGCAATGAATGGTAAATAATGTATTGTGTCATTTTGGAGTCACTTTTATTGTAAATAAGAATAGAATACATTTCTAAACACTTCTACATTAATGTGGATGCTACCATGATTACGGATAATCATGAATGAATTGTGAATGATGAGTGAAAAAGTTACAGAAGCATAAATATTACACCCCACAAAAAATATTAACCTCCCCTGTTATTGGTAATGGTGAGAGGTATGTTTTGGGGGCATGATCTTTGTGCATCTGTAACTCTGACACAACCTAAACAAACTGCAAATGCATCCAACAAGTTTGTAGTCACAAGCTTGATGTAGTCATTGCATGCTAGGAATATGGGACCAAATGCTAAACTTTTGACAAAATACACTAAGTGAATTTGTCCAAATACACTACATGACCAAAAGTATGTGGACACCTGCTTGTCGAACATCTCATTCCAAAATTATGGGCATTAATATGGAGTTGGTCCCCCCTTTGCTGCTATAACAGCCTCCACTCTTCTGGGAAGGTTTTCAACTAGATGTTGGAACATTGCTGCGGGGACTTGCTTCCATTCAGCCACAAGCGCATTATTGAGGTCGGGCACTGATGTTGGCCGATTAGGCCTGGCTCACAGTCAGCGTTCCAATTCATCCCAAAGGTGTTCAATCGGGTTGAGGTCAGGGCTCTGTGCAGGCCAGTCACGTTCTTCCACACTGATCTTGACAAACCATTTCTGTATTGACCTCGCTTTGTGCACGGGGGCATTGTCATGCTGAAACAGGGAAGGGCCTTCCCCAAACTGTTGCAACGAAGTTGGAAGCACAGAATCATCTAGAATGTAATGCTGTAGCGTTAAGATTTCCCTTCTCTGGATCTAAGGGGCCTAGCCCGAACCATGAAAAACAGCCTCAGACCATTATTCCTCCTCCACCCAACTTTACTGTTGGCACTATGCATTCGGGCAGGTAGCGTTCTCCTGGCATCCGCCAAACCCAGATTTGTTTGTCGGACTGCCAGATGGTGAAGCGTGATTCATCACTCCAGAGAACGCGTTTCCACCGCTCCAGAGTCCAATGGCAGCAAGCTTTACACCACTCCAGCTGAAGCTTGGCATTATGCATGGTGATCTTAGGCTTGTATCTGGCTGCTCGGCCATGGAAACCCATTTCATAAACCTTCAAATGTGGGGACTCAATACATAAAGTGCTTTCATTTCTTAACAGGTATGAAAATACCCTAAAATAAAAGGTGACATTCTGTACTGTCGCCTCATATAAAACATTTGATCTCAAATCCAAAATGCTGGAGTATAGAGCCAGATTAAACGTTTTTTATCTTCACTGTCCAAATAAATAAGTACCAACAACCACTAGTGGCAAGAACTGGTACTAGTCATGCTGCAGCAAGTGTTTTGTTCAGTAAGGGTATATGTATATTATAGCCACCACAATCTATTATATTATGGTCCATTTTGTTGTGATTATGAGCTATAAACTTAGTCCATCTTGTTGAACACACAGTTTACACCTTTTAGAGTGATGTTACAGTATTTGGACAAGGTTGCCTGCATGTGAGTGAGGAGGAATGAGAGATGCAATGTATATGGTGTTTGTTTTGTTATACTCACTTCATCTGCTTGACAATTGTGCTCTTCCCAGACTCACCAGCACCTGGTAAAAAAAAAAGTAGATATGTTACAATGGCTTTCCCATGTACAAACACATCATCATGGCAGGTAGCTTGGTGGTTAAGAGCGTTGTGCCAGTAACCGAAAGGTCGCTGGTTCTAATCCCCGAGCCGACTAGGTGAAAAACCTGTCGATGTGCCCTTGAGCAAGGCACTTAACCCTAATTGCTCCTGTAAGTCGCTCTGGATAAGAGCGTCTGCTAAATGACCCATTTTTTTTATTTTTTTTATCATCATCATCATCATCATCATCATCATCATTCACCCTGTAGTTGGTTAAAGGGAACCCAAGGGCCAAAACATGACATAAGCAAAGAGAGTTATAATGACAGCACATAGTGAAAGAGAAACCTCAGCAGTTGGCCATCCCCTCCACTGCCACAGATCCAGGGCTCTCAGGACACACGACATGACAAGCATTCAGTGGTGTTGCAAAAGTGACAGTTGCAGTTCATTCACATCCGTTCTATCATGACCTTCTGTTTTGTGTTTAGCTTTGTTTCTGTATGTTGTTGTTGCATTTGTACCATTGCACATCCTATGGGATACTTCCCATTACACACCACACTGACAGCTTGGCCCATCTTTCTGTATGAACTGTAACAACACACTTAGCGGTGGGGCAGTAACAGAGCAATAGGAATAGAGTAAACAAGTACTGGGCCATAGGACAGACTGCGGTGAGCAGTGAATTTCTATGTCATAATACCAGTAAGCTAATTTCCCTCTGGGCTTATATCAAACAAGATTGTCACCACGAGCTGATTTGTTGTTCCACACGCCACCTCAAGGGGGCCATTTAAGATTCCTGACTACAGTGAGGGAAAAAAGTATTTGATCCCCTGCTGATTTTGTACGTTTGCCCACTGACAAAGAAATGATCAGTCTATAATTTTAATGGTAGGTTTATTTGAACAGTGAGAGACAGAATAACA